TGCATGTGCGAGTGTACGTGTGTGTATGCATGTGCGAGTGTATGTGTGTGTGCATGTGCGAGTGTACGTGTGAGCATGTGCGAGTGTACGTGTGTGTATGCGTGTGTGAGTGTACGTGTGTGTATGCATGTGCGAGTGTACGTGTGTGCATGTATGTGTAGAAGTTGCTGTTATTAATAGTGTGGTCAGTAGAGGCCTCATCAAGAAAGTGACATTTGAGCAAAGGCAGGAAGGAGACGAGTGAGGAGCCAAGATGGTGTCTGGAGAAGTGCCCCTGGGCACAGGCTTGAGCTGGAGATGGCTGGCGTGTTGCAGGGTGGCTACAGAGTGATCAAGGTGGGAAGTCGTAGGTGACGAGGGCAGAAAGGAGAACAGACTGAGTGTGGCCGTGGAGGGATACTTGGGATCTAGATATGAAGGTGAGGGGATCCTCAAAGCCTCTGTTATTCTTTACTGTGCATAAGAAATCTTTGTTTCATGTAAGCATTTATTTTCCTTAGGATTTATACGAAAGAATAAGTTCTGTAAGCATCTTTGAATTATTTGATCTCCAAATCCTTGGACTGTACAAGAACACCTGAGGTGCGCTATAATTACACGCAGTCTCTCCTACCTGCTGCCAGGAAGGTGTGGCCTTTGGATGAAACAAACATGGTCCTGGGGGAGATGGTGATGGCCTCATCTTCCTTCCCTGAATCATTGTTTGAAGAGCACTTTGTGAATTTAGTCAGGTACAGACTCACAGCTACTCCTCATACAAACACTGTTTACCATCATTCCAAAGTCAAAATACTAGATTTCTGATTTTTCTGAATATTTTTATTAACGTATTTTTAAATAGCATATTACTACTGAAAATTAACTAGACAGTTAAGATTTTCTGCTGTGTCTAGAATTTCTTAATGAAGAAAACATCAGACATTGACAATTGAATATATTCCGAAAAACAATCTAGAGACTCTCTTAGCAGCTTGATTAGAAGCTTGACATTGGGTCAGCACTAATTCTGATTTGTCATTACCATAGTTAGTGGATTCTTGAAACTGTGCTTCTAAATTCTAGAAGTTTTTTTTTTTAAAAAAAACACTAAATGAGACTTTAAGGATAAAATAAATATTCAATTATTAGTGTGTTTAGTTCAGGGCTAATGATGGTTTACCTTGAAAGTAACAAAGTGAAAGTGATTTAATGATTTTCTTCTATAAATAAATACACACACTTCACCTACTTTGCATTGTATTTCACCAGGACCCATGGAAAGTAATTATAAGCAGCATTGATCCTACTGCCTCTTTAATGTATATTCAGTGAGGAAAGTTCTCCCCTTACTCCTGGAAAGAAATTCAAGGAAAGTAGAAGGGATTTTTTTCCTAAAAATAGTTGGAGAGGTGTGTAGAGGTGTGTGTGTGTGTCTGTGTGTGTGTGTGTGTGTGTGTGTGTGTGTCTATGTTTGTGTATGTGTGTGACTTAAGGCCAAAGAAAAAATGTGAATTTGTTGACCACTGAAATTCCATTCCTCATGCGCTAATAATACATTTTTGAAGGAAATGCATGCCTTTGTTGGAAACGTCTTCCTTTGTCCTATGCATCACTTTTATGTATTTTACAGAACTATAGGATTGCTCTGGGAAGAGTATGTTATGAATCTTCAAGTGTTCTTTCATTGCATAGCAATTTTCAGCTAATCAGAAGGTAACTAAGGTTGCCTAGAAAAATGCCATCACTATGATTTTGCAATTATTGACATCATTCAGCACTTCATCTGAAATTCTTGGTTACAGTGGAAGGTTCCAGAGCACCAACAGTGACAGTGTCTCCAGAGTGGTGGCTGAGGGTAGAGGGTAACTAGAAGACAATGTCAGGATCCCCCACTCTGCACCGACTGAGCCAATGGCGGCGTGGTGGTAGTGGGGGCTGGTTCCTCCCTGTGCAGATGTCCTGGTGAGGGGGGCAGTCCCGTGTGTGGGCTGATGACACCGCCATGGAGGGCAGCAGGCATCCTCGCCAGTCCTGGTGAAGCCATGAACTCATGCCCAGCTGCAGAACACAGTGTGTGAACAGCCAGGGCTCCAGGGGGTGACAGTCAAATTTCACCGAAGACCTGTGCGCAGGCCTCACGTTTCGTGGGACAGAGCTCACACTGATGTAGGCCAGACAGCAGCAAGAGGAAGGCTCACAATGCTACGGGCCTGGAACTGCCACAGTGAGCGTAACATCTCAAGCCCATTAAGTTGGTGGTTTTGACCAAAACACCTGGGAGCAGCACGCTACAATGGAAAGAAAGCTCCAGAATGGGGGCCAGGCAGGGGAGTTCTGAGAACTCACTTTGTGACTCTAGGCATAGAGGGGTTGTGAATGGACTTTGAATGGAAACTTTATAAAGAATATTTCTTTAGAAAGATTTATCTCCAAGTGGAGGGAGTACCTGACTCTCACTTTGCATCGAATTCAGTGGGAGAGTTTGACTATTCTGTGGATTAGATACTCTAATCATTGAATAAGATGGCATTTTGTGAGTTAAAGAGGCTACCTAAGGAAAACTAGAGAAGTCTTGGGGCCCAGATTTTCTATCCAGGGACAAGGGGAGAACTTTTCCCACTGAATCCATTTTAAAGAGGCCGTAGGAGACAGTTGCTTATAATCACTTTCTGCAGATTCTGTTTAAGTACGATTACAGTGTTTTATAAAGGACGGCTCATCGTGTTTAATTGTTTTGCCATGACCCTCTTGGGGGGCAGCAGTGCCCAAAGCAAAGGGCCAGTGGTAGTACCACCAACAAGGAGTAGAGGTATTTATTAGAAACGGGCAATAGAAACCCAGATTTGCACTTTTTCTTTTTTAGAAATCTAACAATTAGAATCACAGTGGAATAGCTTAAAAGAAAGAGTGTTAGTGTGCTTTTGTAAACATTTCTAACGGTTTCCAGACTTTAATAAAAGTCAGTGCTATTGTATGTTTGTTTGTTTTTTCTTTATTAGGAAGTTGGGGGGGAGAGATGGTAGGAGTGGATTGACTTTCTTTGTATAATTATCGTCTATTTTAGCTTATAAACTGCTAAAAGGGAGGTACCAGAGCTCTTAAGTTGTTTTTTTCTTTTTGATGTTTATTTTAAAACCTGGTTGTGCACATACAGAGGAAAACCTCAGGAAAGTGAAGCAGTTAGCACAAAAAAGCAATTACAAACACTTCTAGGTTTTTAGAAAAAAAGTTACCCAAGATTTTTGCAAATTAGAAAGAAATAACGTTACCTTTAAAATTCTGAGGTTTAGTAATTTGAATTGGATGCTTGGAGATACCTTGGATATTCTGTCAATAATAAGAGGAGAATGGCTTTAGTTGAAATACCCACTCTTAAATGAATCTGTACTATTTAAGGGTATTTAAAACGTATCACATTTTATTCAACATGAACTAAATAAGTAATGCCAATGTATTATGCATAAGCATATTAATATTTAATACAACTGTATAATCAGCAAATCTGAGAACAATTCTTTCTTATTGTAGCCTGTATATCCTTTATGGTAATTATAAAAAGTACTTCTTTTAACAGTAGCCTAAATTATAAGCTCAGTTAATGTCTTAAAAATTCCTACGTAATATGCTAAAAGTAGGTTTCCATGAAATAAAGATTCTATTAGTCACCCATAATCACTCCTCTTCTCCTCTAATGCCCTGGCACTTGGTACCTTCCTCTGTCTTAGCACTTGTGACCTGCCCAATAGTTAGTGGCTATGCGTCTACATCCCCTACAAACACTCAGGGGCCATCTGTTAAGCACTTTCACAACTTGGGCAATGTGCAATAGGTTGCAGCCACTCACTATTGAAATCATGAGAATGCCTGTTACAATATTCTCTCGATTCTTGGCAGTACATTGAATAATACACTGCTTTGTCTGGTAATGGAACTTCTTAGAGTAGTAGGCCTTGACTCTAACTAGATGTTGTGAATGGTGCTAACTTCTGAGCAGGCACAGTCCTCCTGTCTCACAGGTTAGGTTCTTAGGGTCTGCCAGAAACCTTGCAAGGAGGTAAGGCGGATGTTATCATCCTCACCTTTTTAGGTGAAGACACTGAGGCCTTGAGATGTGAAGACACTGGCCCTCAAGATTTCTGTACATTAGAATCACATGGTATCTTTTTAAAAACACCAGTTATTCACAGGATAAGCTCAGTAGTAGAACAGAAATGACAGAAAAAAGAGCCAGTAAACTGGAAGAAAGATCAACAGAAACTATCCAATCTGAAGAAGAGAAAGGAAAATACTGGGGAAAAAAATGAACAAAACCTCAGGAACCTATGGGATGATATCAAAAAGACAATATAAAATTGTGTAATTTTAGTCCCTGAAGAAGAAAAAAATACGTATTTGTGCAGAAAAATATTTGAAGAAACAACAGCTAAAATTTCCCCATTAGTGACAGACATCATTTTTCAGATGCAAGAAGCAGAACAAACCTAAAACAGGATAAACTAAAAGAAAATCAAGCCCAGAAACATCATAATCAAACTGTTGAAAACCAAAGATAAAGAAAAAATCTTCAAAGCAGCCAGAGAAAAATGACACATTACACAGAGAGAGAAAACGATTTGAATGACTGCAGATTCGTCATCAGCAATCATGCAGGCCAAGTGACAGTGGAACATTCTATACTCCATCCTGGGATTCTCCGACCTCATAAATGATTTTTCAAAGTTTGCATACATTAAGGTTCACTATTTTGCTGTAAAGTCCTATGGGTCTTGACAAATGCATAATGTCATGTATCCACCATTATAGTATCATACAGGATAGTTTCACCACCCTGAAAAATTTCCTATGCTTCACCTATTCACCCTCATCTCCCTGACCCTGAACTTGCAACCACTCATCTTTTTATAGTGCCTATAGTTTTACCTTTACCAGAATGTCATATGCTTGGAATAAATAGTATGTAGCCATTTCAGATTAGCTTCTTTCACTTAGCAATATGCATTTAAGATCATCCATGTCTTTTTGTTCCTTGATAGCTTATTCCTTTTTACTGCTGAATAATACTCTATTGGATAGATGTACTATAGTTTATTTATCCATTCACCTATGGAAAGACATCTTGGTTGCTTCCAGTTTTTGGTGATATGAATAAAGCTACTATAAGCATTTGTGTGCAGGGTTTTATGTGGACATGAGTCTTCAAGTCATTTTGGTAAAGACCTAGGAACGTGATTGCTGGATTGTATGGTAAGACCATATTTAGCTTTGTAAGAAGCTGTCAAACTGTCTTCCAAAGTGTCTGTATCATTTTGCATCCCCACCAGCAATGCATGAGTGTTCCTGTTGCTCTACATTCTTGCCAGTGATTGGTATTGTCAGTTTTTTAGATTTTAGCCATTCTAGTAGGTGTGCTTCACTTGTCTATGCCAAGGTACGTGGCCAAATGACTGAAAGAGATCCATATTTGTGCCTATTTCAAACAAAGGTGACCCAACAGAATGTAGAAATTATCAAACAATATCATTAATATCCCACGCAACTAAAATTTTGCTGAAGATAATTAAAAACCGGTTGCAGCAGTACATCGACAGGAAACTGCCAAAAATTCAAGCCAGATTCAGAAGAGGATGTAGAATGAGGTATATCATTGCTAATGTCAGATGGATTTTGGCTGAAAGGAGAGAATACCAGAAAGATGTTTATTTGTGTTTTATTGACGGTGCAAAGGCATTTGATTGTGTGGATCATAACAAATTATGGATAACACTGCAAAGAATGGGAATTTCAGAACACTTAATTGTGCTCATGAGGAACGTGTACATAGACCAAGAGGCAGTTGTTTGAACAGAACAAGGGGATACTGTGTGGTTTAAAATCAGGAAAGGTGTGCGTAAGGGTTGTATCTTTTCACCATACCTATTCAATCTGTACGCTGAGCAAATAATCTGAGAAGTTGGACTATATGAAGAAGAACACAGGATCAGGATTGGAGGAAGACTCATTAACAACCTGTGATATGCAGATGACACAACCTTGCTTGCTGAAAGCGAAGAGGACTTGAAGCACTTCCAGCCTTCAGTATGCATTACACCTCAACATAAAGAAAATGAAAATCCTCGTAACTGGACCAATAAGCAACATCATGATAAACAGATAAAAGATTGAAGTTGTCAAGGATTTCATTTTACTTGGATCCACAATCAACACCTATGGAAGCAGCAATCAAGAAATCAAACAACGTATTGCAACGGGCAAATCTGCTGCAAAAGACCTCTTTCAAGCAAAGATGTCACTCTGAGAACTAAGGTGCAGCTGACCCAAGCCATTATATTTTCAATTGCTTCATATGCATGTGAAAGCTAGACAATGAAGAAAGGAGACAAAGAAGAATTGATGCCTTTGAATTATGGTGTTAGTGATGAATACTGACTATACCATAGACTTCCAGAAGAATGAACAAATCCATCTTGGAAGAAATAGACCCAGAATGCTCCTTAGAAGCAAGGATGGCGAGACTTCTCATGGACTTTGACATGTTATCAGGAGGGACCAGTCCCCGGAGAATGACATCATGTTTGTTAAAGCAGAAGGTCAGCAAAAAAGAGGAAGACCCTCAACAAGATGGACTGATACAGTGGCTGTGACAATGGACTCAAACATAACAATGACTGTGAGGATGTTGCAGGACCTGGCAGTGTTTCATTCTGTTGTACATAGGGTCGCTATAAGTTGGAACATACTCAATGGCACCTAACAACAACAGTAGGTGTGTAGTGCTATCTCATTGTTGTTTAACATCCTCTCCCTTTTTTATATCACAAATTCCTCCTCATCCTTCAAGTCTCAGCTTAAGCTCCCTTCCTTGAGGAAGAAACCTTCTCTAGCTCCCTGACCAGGCAAGCCTGGATGCCTCTTGTGATACTCTGGATAGCCTCCACACATCTCTCAGTCCAAATACTGATCACAATATCATATATCCAGGGTTATGGATCCCTACTTCCTAGAAGAGTGCCTAGCATATAGAAAGTGCTTAATGTCTGCTTACTGAATGAGTGAAGGCAGAGGTTCATTCAAAGTATATCAGTAATCAAAATTTGAGTATTCATAATATGTAAGTTGTTACTTTCTGACTTAATTCCTTATTTCTGCTTATGTTTTTTGCATCCACTCATCCAATATTTAGTAAGTACCACTGCACATAAAGTGCTGTGACAAGTAGTCCAGAGAGAGGTAGCAATACAAAATGAACTAAAGTACAAATATGGCCCACTGGGGATTATTGTCCAGTTTGGTAGATACATATACACATAAAGCATACAATACAGGGTTCAAATGAACCATACTAACAGGGATTCACAGGAAAGTCCCCAGAGTTCTGAGGAAGGGAGAGTTTCAGCTTCATCAGATATGGCAGGCAAATTTCTAGGGAAGAAGGAGGCAGGAACTAGTCATAAAGCCCCATACATCTTCTTTCTTAATCATCCTTCAGGGTCCACCCCAGCCAGGCCTTCATGGAGGAGGAGGTCAGCCAAACTCTCCTTGGCTAAAGCCTTTTCCATTGCTTTGCTGCACTGTGTGATAGCCTGGTCTGGGAAGGTCTGTCAACGTATTCAGGTTGTTAGGTGCTGTCTAGTCGGTTCCGACCCATAGCGACCCTATGAACAACAGAATGAAACACTGCCTGGTCCTGCGCCATCCTCACAATCACTGCTATGCTTGAGCCCATTGTTGCAGCCACTGTGTCAATCCATCTCGTTGAGGGTCTTCCTCTTTTTCTCTGATCCTGTACTTTACCAAGCAAGATGTCCTTCTCCAGGGACTGATCTCTCCTGATAACATGTAAAAGTATGTAAGACGTAGTCTTGCCATCCTTGCTTCTAGAGAGCATTCTGGTTGTACTTCATCTAAGGCAGACCTGTTTGTTCTTTTGGTATTCCGTGGTATATTCAATATTCTTCGCCAACACCACAATTCAAAGGCATCAATTCTTCGGTCTTCCTTATTAATTGTCCAGCTTTTGCATGCATATGAGGTGACTGAAAACACCATGGCTTGGATCCGGTGCACCTTATACCTCAAGGTAACATCTTTGCTTTTCAACACTTTAAAGAGGTCTTTTGCAGCAAATTTGCCCAGTGCAATGCATCTTTTATTTCTTGACTGCTGCTTCCATGGGTGTTGATTGTGGATGTAAGTAAAATGAAATCCTTGACAACCTCAGTCTTTTCTCTGTTTATCGTGATGTTACTTATTGGTCCAGTAGTGAGGATTTTAATTTTCTTTGTAATAAAGTGTAATCCATACTGAGGCTGTGGTCTTTAATCTTCATC